TATATTGATAAGATATACAAATGCAAGACTTGTATATACACTACACAGTTCCCGTATTCAATTGAGTATTCAATATTATCAAAATTCTTTCAAATCTTATTTAGGTCTATGGTCTGTGTGTCTGCAGTTTCATGACACGACAACCATTAACAATGAGTAACTGGGTTTTTCTCAGTGAGAACTAACTCACTGCCACTGTTTTGAAGTAAAGATTTTTTAAAGTTGGATCCTTGCAAAATGCACAAATGGGATTTCCGTTTCAATATGGGTCTTTAACAGTCTTCTTTGACATTTATACTACAGAAAACGTGACTAATACAACTTTTATTCTGGCTGCCTTTAGATGTCTAACAATTACGTCTGTAGCATGTCTTTAATTGACGTCTAAACAATGTCCAAAATTTTTTTATAAAAAACGTTCATTCTGGCTCCTGTGAAGACGTCTTCTGGATGTCTAACAATTACGTCTGTAGCACGTCTTTAATTTACGTCTAAACAACGTCCAGAAAAGACGTATAAAAACCTTTCATTCTGGCTCCTGTGAAGACGTCTTCTGGATGTCTAACAATTACGTCTGTAGCACGTCTTTAATTTACGTCTATACAATGTCCAGAAAAGACGTATAAAAAACTTTCATTCTGGCTCCTGTAAAGACGTCTTCTGGATGTCTAACAATTACGTCTGTAGCACGTCTTTAATTTACGTCTATACAATGTCCAGAAAAGACGTATAAAAAACTTTCATTCTGGCTCCTGTAAAGACGTCTTCTGGATGTCTAACAATTACGTCTGTAGCACGTCTTTAATTTACGTCTAAACAACGTCCAGAAAAGACGTATAAAAACCTTTCATTCTGGCTCCTGTGAAGACGTCTTCTGGATGTCTAACAATTACGTCTGTAGCAAGTCTTTAATTTACGTCTATACAATGTCCAGAAAAGACGTATAAAAAACTTTCATTCTGGCTCCTGTGAGGACGTCTTCTGGATGTTTAAAAATTACGTCTGTAGCACGTCTTTAATTGACGTCTAAACAACGTCCAGAAAAGACGTATAAAAAACTTTCATTCTGGCTCCTGTGAGGACGTCTTCTGGATGTCTAACAATTACGTCTTTTAGACGTATTATAGACGACTGTTTGCTCGCTGGGTATGGGTCAGTGTGCTAGTGATGACGTGACGAAATGGCCCGTGCATGAATATTAATAAAGTTATGCACAAAAACATGATTGTTTAATATTAGGGATAGATAAATCTATTAAATTTTAATCTCGCATAACTTAATATCCTCTACTTTTACATTAGTCGAGTCGTTATTTTTTTGCTTTCAGGATGAGTTATTAAATTATCACTTTTTATTTTAATAACCCAGAAACATTTGAACGAAAAGTGGTCTATTTACATATAAATATCACAACAACATTACACTTATTTACATTTCATGTCTCTTATAAAAGACATGCTTATAGTGAAAATAAGGGCTTTTGAAAATAGGAATGCACTGAAATTAAAATACCTGGCCTAAAATTATGAATTTTTTCCCCTAAATAATTGTCAGATCTGGATATTTTTTTCGCAATCCCTATAATGAATGGCTGCATATCGCTTGAGACTTACTGATATGAATTTTATATTTAAACTTTATTTGGAGTACTTCTTTATTGCACAATGCACATTTCTTCTTAGGCCTAAAACGTGTCTTAATATCACTATTAGTAAGAATAGTAGGATCTCTGTATAATATAAGTCTTTACATGCAAGATATTAAAAGTGTACCTAAAGTATACTTGCAATAGTTCCACTTTAGCACAGTCAAATATAAAGTAGTTCCAGCACTATTTCTGGATAACTAAAGTACATTAAGTAGAAAAATAGTTGTTCCAATTTAGCAGACTTACCAATTTAGTAAACTAAAAGTACAACTGCAGGGTATTTATATTAAGTACATAAATATGTAAATGTATTTGTAGTATTAGCATAAAATAAATGTATTTTAAATACATTTTAGTATATTTATTTTTCTCTAGGGTTAAGCTAAACTACCAGGTGTCTGCCTCAGCCACCTGAGATTGGCAAGTCTAAAACATTATCCTCAGGTTTTCTCACTCAAAATTATCCTCAGGTTTTCAGATGATGTGTTGTTATCAATGAACACTATTACTTGTGAAATAAGAGTGTTCCAATAACCTGCTGTGCGTAACCACCAGACAAGACTCCAGACAATGAATATGCCTTCAATCATGACTGGAGTATCTCAAATTAAATCACAGAGACCAAAAGATCACACCAGTTTATATAGAATAGATATGCATGATTCAGCAAACTCCCTGTTACTGGCCAAAAGCAAATTAGACTTTTGAATACTCTGCTTGTTGCAAAGTTAAATGTTATGTATAGTTATGAGGTTAAAAAATAAATCCAGACAGGCATCTACTCCATCTGCATGCATTATTTCAACGCACTTACTTTAGCCCAAGTGCTAGTGTCACATTCACCTCCTTCATCTGTGTCTTCACTACACTTCCCAGCATTCCCAGCTTCTTACCAGCTTCTTACCAGCTTCCCGATCCTTCCGTACCATGCATCTCCAGTGTGACTGCTTCCTAACCACCTGCAAGAGAGAAAAGGACATTATCATTCAGCTAAGCCTGTTTTATGTTTCAAAGTCATTTGATCCTTACCTGTTATCTCCGACTGAGTATCCATGTGCACAAATAACCGTCAACAACTTACCATCCAGTCTGTTTCCTCTGTGAGCCCTAACAGAAGACCAGACCCCCCTAAAATGGACGATAGGGTCAGTATTGTCGTCCTGGCCGAGGGGAGCCAAAATCTCCCAGCTTTTGCCCAAGGACGTTCGTTTGAGGGAACCCGTCTGGCCAGATTTCGCGGGACCCGTGGAGGCTGCAGTTGAGGCAGTGGTCGAGAAGAGTCCTGACACCACTCTCCACTCTGGTCCCTCTTCGATCCTGGGTGGGTGACGTCCAGTCCAACCAAGCCTTCACCGCTGGTTCCGTCCAGCACCAAACCCTCCTCTCCGCTGGTTCCGTCCAGCACCAAGCCCTCCTCTCCGCTGGTTCCGTCCAGCACCAAGCCCTCTTCTCCGCTAGTTCCGTCCAGCCAATCCGAGCCAGAGACCGCTGACCCTGCGCCAGAGACCGCTGACCCTGCGCCAGAGACCGCTGACCCTGCGCCAGAGACCGCTGACCCTGCGCCAGAGACCGCTGACCCTGCGCCAGAGACCGCTGACCCTGCGCCAGAGACCGCTGACCCTGCTGAGGCAGCTGAGCCTGCTGATCCTGCGCCAGAGACTATGAACCTCACGCCTGCCCAACCAGAGACTCGGTGTGTACCGGAGCCCGTTCGTTGTTTCTGTGTTTGTGTCAGTCTTCGTGGCTGTTACTACACTAGTAGCCACTGAGAGTGCATCTCTGTCAAAGAAACCTTTGGATTTTGGAGATGAGAATTTACTTGTCCCAGTTTGGTTACCCAAGCCTGTCAAGCTAGATCCTGTCATTCATCTGCCTGTCGTGTTAGCCCCGCCCAACCTCCCTCTCCCACCACCTCTTCAAGACATCTCGAACTCTGTTCTTTTTGGGTATCTGCATAGGACTTCAGTCTCCAGCCATCTGTACCACCCAGTCATCTGTCACCCTCCAGTCCATCGGTACCACCTTGGACCTGTCGGGAGCCATCTTCTCCTGCGCAAGATGAGCCCTTAGCTCCGTCTAAAGCCTCGGTGCGCTCCAATCTGCTTCGACCTGTTGCCCTGGCTCCCGAACCTACGCTCCTTCCACCCTCGACCTCGGCGTAAACCATCGGCCATTCGGTCTTGCCGGACTCCCTCGGCACGTCGATTCCACCGAGGTCAGACGTCGCTTCACCTCCGCTGCGGACTTGCGAACCGTCCGCTGCACTCTGGTTCTCCACCCCTTCTGCTGCGGTTTGCTCCGCCCTTCTTTAGGCTCCATCTCCGCCCTCGGTCGTTCCAGCTCGCCCTCAGACCTCTGGATCCCCACCTCGCTCTCAGGAGGTCGTCGCTGTGGCTCCATCGCGGTCACCTGGGTCTTCATCATCTCTTCACTACCTCGGCTCATCGACTACGCGGTGGGCTTCATCCTCGTCGTCGTCGCCTCCGGTCATCTCCATGGCGGCCTTCACTGCTTCTCCACGCCTAGGTCCTGCTCTGCCCTGGCCGCCTGCACGTCCTACTCCACCACGGCCACTTGCTCGTCCTGCTCCGCCTGGACCATCCTGGAGTCCGTCCATTTGCACCCGGTCCACCTTCCCATCACGGACTCCAGGATGCCCACCCCCCCCCTCCCGTGTTGTGCCTTGTACCGCGCGGGTCGCGCCTAGCGGGAGGGGGGAGTTATGTCACATTCACCTCCTTCATCGGTGTCTTCACTACACTTCCCAGCATTCCCGGTCATCATCACCTGCACCTCATCATCCTCATCATGATCACCGTCACCTGTGTCCCATCACCAGCATGGACTATAAAACACTCACTCTCCCTGCAGTCACTGTCTGGTCTCGTCGATACATGACTCACAGACTCTCCTTCAACTCACCTGCTACTTACCAGCTTCCCGATCCCTCCGTACCATCCATCTCCAGTGTGACTGCTTCCTAACCACCTGCAAGAGAGAAAAGGACATTATCATTTAGCTAAGCCTGTTTTATGTTTCAAAGTCATTTGATCCTTACTTGTTATCTCTGACTGAGTATCCATGTGCACAAATAAACGTCAATAACTTACCATCCAGTCTGTTTCCTCTGTGAGCCCTGACAGCTAGGACATTTCGATCTCAAAAGCATAGAAATATAATATTACTGTGAGAAAAAGTAATGTTATGATAAAAATGTACTTCGCAACTGTCATTCACAACTTCAGAAACAGACAGGTATATCTTCCTATTGAGTGGATAAAAGAAAGAAATGCTTTTCATTTGATTTCATACAGAACATTTATTAGCTTTACTGTTGTTTCTTTGTCACCAGAAACATCTGGAACAAACACTAAGCAACTTCCATCGGAGAATCTGGCAGAGAGAGAAAGATCTCCAGGAGCTGAGAGAGGTTGTGAAGACTTATAAGGTGAGTTTGGCAACTGGAAGAAAAGTTTCATGTTTTCAAACTCTCCTCCAATCAGTGAGGATCTCAGTTCATTACAGTCTCACTGAAGCTCACTGTGTCCTGACAGCGCTCTGCACAGACAGCAGTGGAGGACAGTGAGAGGAACTTTACTGAACTGATCCGCTCCATTGAGAGAAGCCGCTCTGAGGTGACACAGCTGATCAGAGATCAGGAAAATGCTGCTGTGAGTCAAGCTGAAGGACTCTTGAAACAACTGGAGAAAGAGATCGATGACCTGAGGAGGAGAAACACTGAGCTGGAGCAGCTTTCAAACACAGACGATCACATCCATTTCCTGCTGGTAACTGAGCCTGAGAAAAACATAGGACAATTACTATATGTCTCTTTATCTGTCTACATTGTAATGTTGTTTGTCTTTGTATGTTTTCTGCAGAGTGTCGAGGCTTGCTCTGTTCCTCCTAAAACTACTGTTGTGCCCACAATCAATGCCAGTTCTCTCCTCTTATATGAGGATGTGGGAAAATCTGTCCTTCTGCTAAAAAAGAAACTTGAGGATTTCTGCAAAGAAGAGATAAAAAAGACATCTGATAGAGGTACAATAATGGAGATATTCAAAATTAGAGATACATCGTGCAACAAACAATCTAAAATTGGTGTTTCCTACTGCAGCACATCAACAAATGCTTTTGAAGACTTTTGAACATTACTTCATTTGTGAGCTTTATCAGTTTTCTGTTTACATAAAAATAATACTTTAAATGCTGTTGGTTTCCATAGTGGCACACATTGAAATCATTTCCACTTCTGAGGAGAGCCTTGAATGTAAGTCTTACCTTATGCAACATTTTTGTATCAAGTGATTATTCAAATCCTTGCCTTAAGATGTATAGATGCACAATATTCTAAACCAGCTGGTACATAAACTCTCTCAGTTAGGAGTTTCTAAAACTGTTTGTTTTCCTCATTGTCACTATTTCAAGCGAATAACTAATGAAATATGCCAGTGGTTTGTTTTCAAAGCTTTTACTACTGCTTGACAGTTTGACATTATTTGCTTTCCTTTACAGTGCCACCACCCAGTCCCAAACCAATGCCAAGATCACTGTCCATGCCCTTCCAAAAGCCAGAGTTAAAGCAGAGATCCTTTACAATACCACCACCAAGACCCTTCCTGGCGAATACAAAGTATTGGAACTTCACTGAACCGTGAGTCACAGGCCAGACTCTTCACAGCACCAAGGTAATGGCCCAGACCATCGCTGACTCCTGCTCACCAAGACAAAGGTCATTTCTTATGCTGATCAAATATGCTTTTTAACATACGGTTTTTGTCTGAATAAATACGAAGAAAATTGTTCCTATTATATCCTACAAAAATTCTTGATATAACCCTTATTCTTTGGAATTCTGCAATCTCTCCACCACTATGTGTATGTTAGAGGAAATGTATTAACCATTTCTTGATTCTTTATGATTTTTAAAATATTAATTAAATTAGGCCTATATATATTTTTTAATCTGTAATTATGTATCTAAAGATTTGGTAGTGGCAGTTTATTAAAACAATATTTTAATTATTTGTAGCCTATTAATGGTGTGTTTTGGTTGTGTTTTTTTTTATTTGGGGTTAATCCAGTTGTCTTTATATTTAGAAACAATACTTTACTTATTAAAGTTACTGAAGTGCAAATAAAGTTTGGTTAATGTGAATAATAACGACTTGGTATTTACTTCCATAGCAATCTGTCCTATTATAAAGTGTGTTACTTAGTGATAAACCAATGCTAACCATTCAGTACATGAGTGAACTGTCTGTATTGAGCAAAAAATCGATTTACACATGTTGCTAAGCCATTTGACCTAATAATAATAATAATAACACATTTTATTTATAGTGTGCTTTTCTAGTACCCAAAGCGCTACAAACAGTAGCAAATAAAACAATTAAAATACAGGATTTCAGAAATGATACACTACAAAGAAACAACAAATAAAAATAAATAAACATTAGGATAATCTGTCACGGATTGCCGATGAAGGAAGATACTGAAGACTGAATAAAGTTCACAAACGAGTTTACTGGTGACAAACATGCAGACTAGCATGACATTCAACAATAACCGACAAAGGATAGAACAGAACTGAGTAAATACACAAGGTGAATGAGGGAACTAAACAGGGACAGGTGGAGGAAGATTAAACTAATTAGGACTAACAAGAGCAGATGCAGGCAGAACGAACGTATAATCAATACAATAAAGTACTAATCATATTAATCTAAAGCAATTTTTAAATGGGTTTTTAGCAACTTCTTGAAACTGGCTAATGTGGGAGCATTTCTAACAGTATGTTAGAAAGGAGGAAGTGCATTCCAAAACATGCGTGCAGCGATAGAAAATGCTCTCCCTCAAATATTTTACAAAGAGGCTGCTGAAGAGTAAAAGAATCAGAAGAATGAAGAGAATGAGTAGGTGAGTATAGGGTAACTAATGCCGCGTTCCAGGCAACCTGTAACCCGTGAAAGTGCACTGGAACTGGTGACTTCCCACCCGTGAACTCGTATTAGATCGATGTACTCCCAGTTACGAGCTCTGACGTCACATAGCCCGCGAAACCATACAAAACAACCATGGATTGTTTACATCTAGCTACCACAATTCCTTGCGCTCAGGTAGTTTGGCGTGACTGGCCTGGAACGCTACAAAGTCGTGAGTTGTGGTTTGAAGTCGTGATTTACGTGCTCAAAAACCTGCCTGGAACAAAGCATTAGTCACAGATATAAGGGGCTGTTCCATGTACAGTTTTGTAGTTTTAAAAGCAATGTGCAACTGAACAGGAAGCCGATGCAGATTTTAAAGCAGGCCTAGCTGTGATGTGCTGACATTGACTACGTTTACATGCAGCCAAATTTCGGGTTATGGTCGGGTTAAGGTCACTATTCGGGTTTCTGAAACATTAGGGATAACCCGTTTACATGCGTGAGCAGAGAGAGTTACTCCTGTATACATGGAATTGCAATATCCCGATGTAAACGCGACGCGCGGTTAGCGTCTGGACGTACGGACAACCTTAAGACGCAATATGCGTCATTTCCGATTCTTCTTCCTGTATCCAAAGACAACAACAACAGCAGCACGCGGATAATGAATAGTTCGGGGCAGATAGCGATCGCCTTTGTTTGCGCTTTGGTGCTGGTAACGTTACTGACCTCGCTCCAAAAGTATGCTGTGCTGCGTCTCGCCATGTTTACTTCCGGTATACTGCACACGGGTTTTTGTATGCGCCGAGAAGTTTCTCTACTCAAAAGACCAAGATTCCTTGCGAATAGAACATGTGCAGAAAACACATCACTATGGGGATATGCCGATGCGCGTTTACATGACCAAAAATTCGGGTTAGAAAAGGGGTACCCCAGGTATAATATCCCGGTTTTTAAAATCCGGGATATGAGCATATTCGGGTTTTTGCCGGTGTTTACATGGCCGTTCGCGACCGGGTTATTGCTAATATCCCGGTTTTGAACGGGTTATTGGCTGCATGTAAACGTAGTCAGTGAGAGACTTTTGCATCGGGTCGTTTTTTTTCGGGGGGGGGGGGGGGACAGAGGAACACACTTCCTGAAAAGCTTGTTTGAGTGCTTCTCCATAACAATCGCCTTCAACACGTACGCAATAAAATAAACAAATGGTTTCTGAAGACAAAAAAAAAAGCTGATAGCGTACATCGCAGACGCCCACAGACACTCCGGTGATGATGTTGTGGACTGTCGTCGGCCAATGAAACTGTCATGTGTACACGCATGCTTCAGGTATACCGGTCACGCTGATGGCGTTCATCATAGCGTCAATCCAAGATGTAAAATCTTCACTTATCTATGCAGTTTCTTAACTTTACAGCTTTATTATAAGAGAGATAAGTTTACTTTTAGTCAATAAAAATACAAGTGTTTATTTTTAGTTTGCTACGGAGCCCCTAAAGGGACATGGTGAAGGAAAAAAAATATGAAATGGAAGAAAAAATATTTGCAAGCGAACGCAACGTTTCTCGGGGAACGCAAAACATTTGCAAGAAAACGCAAAAGTACGCTTGTGTAGTTAAGACATAATTTTTATTTTATTTTAATAATGTATTAGTAGCTATATGTTCCTGTTTATGTTAACTAATGAAAGAAGTCTCTGATGCTCACCAAGGCTGCATTTATGAAAATAAAGTAAAAACATTAATATTGTAAAACTGAATTATTACAGTTTAAAATAACTGTTTTTTGTTTTAATATTTTAAAATGTAATTTACTCCTGTGATGGCAAATATGTGCTAAAAAATGTATAAATGTCTTTACTGTCAATTCTGATTAATTTAATGCATCCTTGAATAACTTTGAATAATTTCTTTCAAAATAAAATAATCTTAATTTTGAATGGTAGTATAGTTCTGTAAATGATGTAAATATTGTATGCCAAGTATATCCACTATTGACGACTGCACCACTTTCTTTCTTCTGCTGAAAATAAAATAAGATATTTAGAAAAATGTCTCAGTGTTTGTTTTTATTCATATAATGAATGTCACTGTGCCTGAAGGAGAATGATATTTCTTCATCAGACACCGGTTATCACTTCACCATTTTTCTGCTTCCCCTGATTTAAACCACTGAGATTATATGATCTCACATTAAGAGGTAAGATCTGACTTCTGACTTGGGAGATTGCTAGTGTAGAACTTTAGGATGGCTGGGGGGCCAGGGCCACCCCATACCACACATCTGAACACCTCAGGATGGTTTGTGCTGACTACAGTTTGTTCCCCTATATCACATACACATAATGTTCAACATGTTTGTTATGTTCTGTTGTACATATTGAATAGTAGCTACGTTTACTGTTCTTGGAATGTGGCTAAGGGTCATCTCAGGTAAAATTAATATAATTTTCTTATAAAAGACAACATGCCTATAAAAACCACCACAGCACTTTCCTAAACAGCTGTAGTGTTGAAAAAAAAAACTAATTTTAGTAACTAATAGCATAATTCAGAATTATATGCAACAAAAGTGCATATTCACATTTTCAGTTATCTCAGGACATTTACTTAAATAATTCAAAAGCCTCAATTTGCTTGGGAATAGCTGACCAAACGGAGATGAGAGAGAGAGAGTAGAAATGGCCATTGGGTCTAAAACGTGCACAAAAAAAATTTGCAGTTGAAAAATGCTCTCTCTCTCGGGTCTGGCCTTGACGTGGCGAGGGGGCTTGCGTGTTCCAGTGACCCTGGAGAGCGATACCGTCGGGAGCTCGCTCCTGGTAGGGTCACCCTAGGCAGGCCGGTCTCCAGGGTAGGTTCCAGACAAACAAAGACCCCAGCATGTCGGTATGCTGCAAGGTGGCAGCCCCACAAACCGACTATCCTGCGGAGGGCTAACAACCCACCCAGGAGAAACTATTTTGTTACGAAACCGATCAGAGAAAGTAGCCGGACAGCCCAACACGGTAACGGACCCCTGCCTGCCCCCGACCAACGAGTATGGTTAAACCTTCGCCGCAGTACCCGAGTCGCCACATGGAATGTCCAGACACTTCTTCGCCCCGGAGCTGCCACCCTGCTGTCCAGAGAGCTCTGCCGCTATAACATCACCTTGGCAGGGCTCTGTGAAGTTCGATGGCACGGCAATGGCGAAACAACAGCAGGCGACCATTGCTATTTCTGGAGTGGCCCCGAGAGACGGACAGGCCTTTATGGCGTGGCACTTGCCATCCCAAAGGCCCTCCGCAAATCCCTCATCAACTGGACACCCCTGAGCGACAGATTACTGTCAGCCCGCTTTCTCCACCAACATGGCAAGATGACAGTAATCGTTGCTTATGCCCCCACCGATGTCGCTGATGAGGATGCAAAGGACGCCTTCTTTGACCAACTCCATCAGGCTGTTGGCCAAGCCTCACCACATGACATCACCATTATCCTCACCGATGCCAACGCCTCTCTGTCTAGCAGTGATCGGTCCACAGGCTCACCTGTCGGCACAACCTTTGCTGACAGGTCCACAAACGACAATGGTAACCACCTTCTCCTTCTCTGCCATCACAACAACCTTTGCGTTGCTGGTACCTGGTTTCCTCGGAAGCTTATCCATCACTGGACATGGTACAGCCCAGATGGCAGAACCAGGAAAGCGCTGGACCATATCCTCATCTCTCGACGCTGGAAGCCGTTTGTCACCAACTGCCGCGTGTACCGAGGAGCAGAGCTTGGCAACACAGACCATCGCTTGCTGGTGGCCCAGCTCAAGTTAAAGCTGCGAGCCAACCAGGGGCCTCATTTATAAAACTTTGCGTAGGATTTGCGTCAGAAGTGGCGTACGGATGAAACATAGGACGTGCGTACGCACAGAAATATTCGGATTTATAAAACCGTGCGCACGCACATCCTACGCATTTTTCCCTTAATAAATCACAATCAATTCTAAATGTAGCGCAGCTTTTGCGGCTTCAT